TGAACCTCAATTGATGACGCAAATGATGCATATATGCGTGCATATTAATAATAATAATAATAGTTTTAACGATTTGGGCATTATAAGATGTTTTAAATGCTGCAGATTTGGACATCAAGTAAAAGACTGTACAGAAAATATTGTTTGTGGTAAATGTGGAGAAGGTCACGAAGAGAAAATGTGTACTAGTAATGTTATTAAATGTAATAATTGTATTTTGTCTAACAACAAACTAGGATTGTCATTAAATGTAGACCATACTGTATGGAACACTACCTGCAGTACATATAAAAGAATCGAAGACTTACAAAGGAAGAAGTTCCCTAAATAGCAATCAAAACCTAAAAAATCCGTAAAATGCAAAGAGTATTGTATTATCCACCAAAATGTTCGTTCCATTGGCAACTGCATTGACATTATCTAAGTCATGTTAAATAATAATGAAGAATGTGTGGGTTTTTGTATATCAGAACATTGGAAAACGTCAGAACAGTTGTTAAATTACCCAATAAAACTGTATAAACTTGTGTCCAGTTACTGTCGTGAGGAGGGTCAACATGGAGGTGTCGCAATTTATGTTAAAAACAATGTGGTGTGTAAAGAAAGAAATGATCTGGTACAAAAATCGAAATGTTATGTATGTGAGTGTGCTGCATGTGATTTTTTTCTAAATAATGTAAAATATATTATTATATGTGTGTACAGAACTCCGAACGCTAATATTGAAGATTTTTTTGCATGCATGGAAAATATTTTAAATGTTGTTGTTAATGAAAATTGTAGGATAACTATAGCAGGAGATTTTAATATAAACTTTGCTATTTCAAATAGAAATACAACTGGATTTATAAACTTGATGAATTCATATAATCTCTATCAAACAATTAATGAACCCACAAGATTAACGAGTAATAATTCCAGTTGTATTGACAATATATTTACAAATGAAGATAATTTTGTGACTAAAATATTGCATACACATATATCTGACCATACTGCTCAAAAAATAACCTTTAAAACGATTTTAACCAATGAACAAAATTTTAGAATGGCGCGTTGTTTCTCCACTGAAAATAAACTTAAATTTAAACAACATATAGGAGAAGCAGATTGGTCGGATGTATATGCTTGCAATGCAGCAGATATAAATCTTCAGTGGTGCAAATTCATGCAAACTGTTACACCGATTTTTGAGTTTTGTTTTCCTAAAATTTTGATGAACTGTAAACGGAAAAAAAATTTGTATGAATCACCAGAAATTACAAATTGTAAAAATAGGCTTGATATTTTATATACTTGTAAATTGCACGATAATAGATATTTAGACCAATATAATAGTGTGTTACGTGAATATAACTATTTATTAAAAGAATATAGACGGAAGACATATGCCAATCAAATTATCTCTTCAGATAATAAATCAAAAAGTGTTTGGAAAATAATTAAAGATATTAAAGGCTGTGATACAAACTGTGATACAACTATTTCAGGTACCCCTGTTGAAGTTGCTGTAAATTTTAATACATTTTTATCTAATGCTGCTTTAGAATTAACATCCGATTTTAATATCTCTAATTTTAAATGTAATATAGTCACAAATTTTAAATGTATGTTTTTAAGACCTGTTTGTAGCAATGAAATACATAATATAATTTTAAATTTAAAAAATAAGCTAAGTTGTGGTGTTGATGAAATACCATCAAGTATTGTTAGGTTGTGTGCTGTTGAGTTTTGTAAGCCTTTAACACATATCATTAATAATAGTTTCCTATACGGTATATTTCCTGATAGACTCAAATTGGCAGTGGTCAAACCTATTTTCAAAAAGGGGGATCCCACTCTAATGGGTAATTACAGACCTATCAGTCTTCTTTCAGTTTTTTCAAAGGTATTTGAAATATCAATGAGTAATAGGCTAGTGAGTTTCTTTAAAACATGTACACTATTTAACATCACGCAGCATGGGTACATCAAAGGAAGATCCATTGACACGGCAGTATTTAATTTTACGAATAAAATTCTTCAAGCTTTCGAATCACGGGAATGTACAATGGGAATCTTTTTAGACCTTTCTAAAGCCTATGATTGCCTAAATTATGAAGTTCTGTACTTAAAACTGTACAAGTATGGTATTAGAGGAATTGCACTCGACTGGTTCAAATCCTACTTAAGCAATAGAATGCAAAGGGTATGTATAATAAGGGAATTAATTGCCTATTACTCTGAATATGAAAATATTAAGTTGGGAATTCCCCAGGGTAGCGTTTTAGGTCCTTTATTGTTCATTATATACAGGGTGTCCGGAAAAAGGAGGTCAATCCTTTAACCATATGTTCCTTGAGTTAAAACAATAAGACTTTCATAATACCATTTCTCAATTTAGAGCTTCATGTTCGATATACAGGGCGACAAAGTTTGAAATTTAAAACAGATTTTTTTTAATAATTCGAGTAATTAATAAGGTATAAAGTTCAAATTCGGTACACTACTTCAACATAAATAGTTACATCTTTTGAGATCAACAAAACAAAAAACAATTGTCAAATAATCAAAATAGGGGGGGTCCAGTACTCAATGACCCCCCCTATTTTTTAGTACGGGCGCCAGTGACTTCCAAACAGTATTTTTTCAGGTAATCATTTAGTGTTGAACATTTTTTGTATCTTATAAAATTTTGATGAAATGATTTGTTTTAGAGATAATTTGTAAAGTATTGGTCCTTGATTGATGCCCACGCGGCTTATGGCAATCTCATAATTTTCAAATGTAGTACTGGACCCCCCTATTTTGATTATTTGACAATTGTTACATCTTTTGAGGACAACAAAACAAAAAACAATTGTCAAATAATCAGAATAGGGTGGTCCAGTACTACATTTGAAAATTATAAGATTGCCATAAGCCGCGTGAGCATCAATCAAGGACCAATTATCTCTAAAACAAATCATTTCATCAAAATTTTATAAGAGACAAAAAATGTTCAACACTAAATGATTACCTGAAAAAATACCGTTTGGAAGTCACTGGCGCCCGTACTAAAAAATAGGGGGGGTCATTGAGTACTGGACCCCCCTTATTTTGATTATTTGACAATTGTTTTTTGTTTTGTTGATCTCAAAAGGTGTAACTATTTATGTTGAAGTAGTGTACCGAATTTGAACTTAATACCTTATTAATTACTCGAATTATTAAAAAAAAACTGTTTCAAATTTCAAACTTTGTCGCCCTGTATATCGAACATGAAGCTCTAAATTGAAAAATGGTATTATGAAAGTCTTATTGTTTTAACTCAAGGAATATATGGTTAAAGGATTGACCTCCTTTTTCCGGACACCCTGTATGTAAACGATATATCAGCTAATATAACCAATACCAGTCAGAGTATGGTGAACTATGCCGACGATACAAATTTACTTGTGGTAGGTAAAACTTCTTTGGAAGTTGTAAATAACTGTAGTATGCTTGTGGATGATGTTTGTCATTGGTTTAAATCTAATAATTTAACTGTTAATAAGGAAAAAACAAATATTATATTGTTTAGAACCAAACTCTCCAACGTAATAGTCCCTAATAGTTTTTTTGTCCAAGGTTTGCCAATTGCATTTACGAGTGAGACTAAATTCCTGGGTGTTCATCTTGATGAACACCTTGATTGGTCTCCTCATGTGATGCAGTTGTGTAAAAAACTTAGTAAAGTTGTATATACAATTTATGTACTTAAAAAATATGTTGATGTGAATGTCCTAAAAACAATTTACCATGCCAATTTTAATTCTATTTTAAGATATTGTATTATATTTTGGGGTCAATGTGTGAATTCAAATGATGTTTTTTTAATTCAAAAAAGAGCACTTAGAGCAATTCTTAATTTTAATGCTACCCAAACGTGTAGGGGTTCTTTTAGGTATAGCAGAATTTTAACTTTTGTGGCTGTATATATTTATGAAGTTTTAATATTTGTTTTTAAAAATTGGAATGTCTTCTCTAGTCAGCTATCCAATAGGATTAATAGCAGACACAATGTTATGAATATACCACCTCATAGATTGGCAATATTTAAAAAAGGATGTTTTTATACTGGTATTAAAGCATATAATAAGTTACCTTTACATATTAAAAAGTGTAGATGTTTTAAAGAGTATAAAAAATATATATTGGAATACTTAATCGAAATAGAACCCTATACTCTGGATGAATATTTTAATTATGTGCCTTAATATTTATTTCTATCAATTTGTTAATCTGTTTATCCTGACTATATTTCTGTAAATATGTGTATATTCTTATGTGTATATTTATAAGAAATAAAATTATTATTATTATTATTATTATTATTATTATTAATAATCGTCTTTATTTAAGTAAAATATTACAATATTATAGTTATTAAATATTTCACATAAAAGTGACACACAATGGCGAAGTTTAGCCCAAGGCTACTCTTACACTTAACCAAGTGTGATATTATAATTGGTGTTTAATATATTATAAGACTAGTTAATAAAACAAATAGGAAATAACAAAAAATATACATATATATATACACACATACATATATACATATACATACATATACTCGTATATACATACATAAACATAAATACACATAAAATAAAATAATAAAAACAATTTGAAAAATAAACAAGTTTTTCGGTTTACATGTTAGTAAATATATATATATATATATATATATATATATATTTACTAAGTATACTTACTCTCTAAAACAACAAAAATTGTTATATAATAATATTATAATATATATAAAACTTAACTTAAAGCGAAAAAGAAGATCTTATACTTTTTTTAAATTTATTTAGAGACATAGACTACAATATGCGTCAATTATGAACCTCATAATGTTATCTGGGTAACTTTTGACGTCATTTTCGGATTCAGAGAGCAATGTTCGGGATACAAATTGCTATTGATGAGAATTATTAGTGGCTGCTTTTTCGCTTAAATTAATTTGTATTTGTAATTTTCTTCATTTATTTTAGAATGCATCTGAATATGAAATAAAAATATGGTCAAATGAAAGAACAAAAGATTTATGGAATACAATATTAAAAATCAAATCAAATCCCAGCAGTTTTAATCATACTCTTAATCAAACAAAGGTGTCAAGGACTTCAAGTTTTTCTCAAAAAAACTTTTTAAAACTAGAGGGACTCATAGGCAATCTCAATAATATTAATAAATCCCATTATTCCAATGAAGAAGATGAGAGATATTTAGAACCAATAGGTGGGGATCCAAAAGGAAAAAATAGCAAAATACCCATACCCCAAAAATTCAATAATCAAAAACCATTTGTTATACCAGAAATACCAAAATTACCCAGACGTCAACAACCAACGTATGAAATAGAGGAAAGCTATGAAGATATTGATGATATACAAGGAAGAACAAGAAAAACATATATAGGTAAAAATGGTATAATGCCTGGAAAAATAGTAAAGATTTATTTAATTTCAATAATTGCCTCCATTAAATGGCATTTTTTTAATCAAAAAGGCTTTAACATAAAAAAATTAACATTTTTACGTTGATTTTAAGGTTGTTTAACGTTGAACCTGTTTTAAAATCAGTCCAGTCAAACCGTTGTTGCGTGCCCAGGTAGGTACTGTCTGTTTTTTTTCTTGAATCAATAGAAGCTGAGAAGCTTAAAACCAAATTTGAACTACCAAAAATCATTTTTCTTTAGTTTTGAGTGAATATCTCGGCCTCCGTTTATTGCACAATAAAAAGTAAACAATTTTTATTTCTTGTAAAATTTACTACAACTTTTGTCTAAAATATTTTTTGTTAAACAAATAGGTACGTAACTATAAAAAATATAGTTAGTTAAAGTCAAATTTTTTTTTCACATTTTCGAAAATATTTCGCATTTTACGGTAAAAAATTATTACGAACAATTTTGTAGCCCTCTTAATTTTCTACCTACTACAATTTAAAAAAAATAGAGCTCGGTGCGACAACCAGAGCCGACCTGTTTGCTGTGGTTTGGCTAGCCAACAGTGTCTACGACGCCTGCATTCGTAGCCTAGTTGCTGCAGGCCGCTTGGTCGCTGTTGGCAAGACGATGCACTTCGCTTGCTCCTGGTACACTCTGATTTCCTTACTGACTCAGTAAGGAAATACTGAGTCATATCTCTCTTCAACGAACATTTAATTTTAGTCTTTTGTTAGTTTAGTAAATTTTATTAGTTTAATTAATCAGTAACCCAGACCAAGAGGTCACTACTAGTTTGTTTAGTGTCAACGCCATATCAAAAATTTAATTCAATTCATGCTAGTCACCACAGAGGTATAAGGTTCTCTGTAGCACGAGAGTGCATCGTTGAAGAGGGGGCTCAGGCAATGGCAGAGGGCTGGATCCGCTGCTATTGTTTCCAAGTTGCCCTTGGTTCCCACTTACTTTCCCCCGTCCCTCTCCATTTATTTCAGGCCCCTTAGGTCGGTTTCCCTTACTTTTAACGTATTCTTTATAAATATAATAAACAAAATATAAACTTAGGTATATAATACTAACATAAAATAAGTCCAAAACGTACACATTTCCACTCGCCTGAGCGCTTAAACCAAAATGTATTTTTAAATGGATTTTGTAAAACCAAATATATACATAAAACAGCCAAGAGGCATGAGAGGGAATTGGGGAGATTGATTTTTCGGCAAGGGCTTGTGGGTTGTGTCGGGGACATCGTGGTTGGCAGTGGCACTTGTGTCGCTTCCAGCACTTATGTTCGCGACATCTGGGGCCTTCCCCTCTGACCTTTATGTTTTTCGATTGAAATACGTAATAATCCTTATATAATAGTAAAAAAGAAAAACATTGATTTTTATTGGTAATAAAAACGTTATTGAATTTTTTCTGCAAACCACTGCTTTTTGATCATAGTGCGCCTCATTGATTCGTACAGCAGCACGAAATAATGTCTACAAGTAATGATGAGATCGTCCCTCCTGAGGTCAGCCCCACTCCTCTGGATCTAAAACATTCGCTAGCCATACCTGCACCGGATAAATTTTCAAAAATAATGGTGTCCAGCCACCAATTTAGTGGGTGGCAATTTTCCACTGGCAAATTGGCAAGATGGGATTTGATTTTCACGATTCGTGCACCAGAACAACTTCGAAAATCGAAAATGATCTACAGTATCTTTGTTATGTAGTTTCGTCCTTTATATAGCGCAAAAAAATATATTTTACCGTTGAGAAAAGAGTTTCTTTCTCAATCAACGCAGTATTGTTATAGCCAGCTTTCTTTGATTTAAAAAGCTGTAACAGTGGGAAAAATATTTTTGCTGGTTACTGCAGTACATGTATCAGGGTTGGAAAAAGTCATGACATTTATAAAAGTCATAATTTTATATTTTTAAATTAATTTAGATAATTCAGTTTTTAACTTCATCAAATTTACAAAATACTTAAATTTTATTACATTATAATATCAAAATAAGTTACATAAAAAATCTGTTTTTTTGACTCTGTAGTTTTTAAGTTTCATCATAATTATTTTACTCTTTAACTACCAAATTTTAATTTATAGGTAGTATCCGCCAGGTATGGCGGCCCTTATCACCTATCCACTATTCGTATTCTTAATGATTTGCACTATAGGAACACTGAACTTTTAATTAAACTACGAGACTTTGGTTATTTTTTAATTTATTATGAAATTAAAGCACTAGTTAACGTCAGCCTTATTTGGGAGTTACAGCGATACGGGATGTCTAAAGGAATTCGTAGTATAAAAATCAAAACAAACCACATATGTATGTACCTAGCAAAGAGGGCAAACTAAAATATAAGCAAATTTTTTTTAAAATTCCCAGTTTATTAATTATTGTGAGAACGGCTGTTTAAATTTAAACATTTCATTTAAAAGGCATGTTACGCAACTTTTTGATGTAGCTCTTTAAATAAAAAAATAAACATACCCATGCACGTGTATGTACATAGAAGGATATTTGGTTTATATGATGGAAATTTTGTTATCAAAAAATATAATTGCAAAAAAATATACAAATAACAAATAAATACAATATCACCGCATTCTAAACAGAGCAGTAATAGATTCAAATATTTTAATCTAATGTACAAATTAGTAAAAATGTATAAAAAATTATTTTTGTTTAGCAAAGTTTTTAATTAATTGAATGGTGTTATGCAACAGGAAACCAACCCTCACTGTTGCAAAACTAAGATAACAGCGTCCGAAAAATTACGTGGTTTCTTCATTAATGTGGTCTTAATTATAGATTCAACGTTTTAATTTTATTTCCAAATCGCTAATTTAGTACTAAATTTTTATTTCTTATAATATATTTTTATTATTTTCAATAAAATAAATAAATTTATTGGTTGGTCCCATGTAGAATAAATAAAACTGATAGTTATTGCCTATTGTTTTATTATAACATGGAATGAGGTGATAAATAGATTTTAAATCTTTTATTTTTAGCTCTAAGATCCTCCTAATCTTCTCTTATATTTTTTGGAAATATTGATTTTGTCATATAAAACCATTGGTTCATTTATTTCCAACATTATTTTTTAATTTAAACTAGATCCAAGTAGCATGGATCCTTGTTGCAGTATAAATATATTGCGTTAAGTCAAAAGTAACGTTAACCAAGCGCTGTATAACCTTTCACAATTTCAATATATAAGGGAAAGTTGGCACAACCATGCAGCTTAAAGCTTTGTTGAGATTTAAAAACTTTGATTGAAAATAATGGAAGTTTGTTGCTTGTCGCTTGTTCAGAATTATTTAAGGAACAATCTTTTACCATCTTATCTTCTTGTTCCTAAAAAGACTGAGTGTATTGCCTAAAAAAGCCTTAAATGTACTCTTTTGAAAAAAAATCATATTTTCGTTGCTAAGATTCCAATTCGAAAAATTTGAAAAACGTTTTAAGGTAACACATAATACTTCATTATTTCAAAGTAAAAACAAAAAAAAATTATTGTTTTACAAACGGGTCTTGGATGAAGTTATTGAAATTTTTCACCGTTTTACATATCACCCTGTAGGAAATTTACTTGAAGAACCGTATGCTTAATATCTATAGCATGAATTGCCAGAGGATGGGGTTAGCAGACATCACAGACCAAAATAAAATCGTTCAAGAAACAAAAAAGTTATGTCGTTTTGAAAAAAGACGAACTTTTTGGTCGCGACACATTGAGTGGTGCGCAGTTTAGTCTACTCTCTAAAAATGAATTAGTCAAGAATGACCAATTTAATAGTTATTAGTGGCTGCTTTTTCACTTGTACCATGGTTAACCATGGAATACGGTGGTGTCCCAACATTTAATAGCCAATTCTTATGTAAAATTGCCACCTGAATCCGAAAATGTCGTCAAAAGTTAAAAAAGTAGAACAGTTTTTGAGATATAGTCAATTTTCCATTTAATATGGAATTGACTATAACTCAAAAACTATTAAATTAGTCATTTTTGACTAATTCATTTTTAGAGATATAGTCATAAGTTATGAGTCAAAACAATTTTAAGCAGTTGCTCCTTTAGTGCTTGTCGTAACGTTTTTGTAAATACAGGCAAATAGTCAATTACTTATAATCTAATAGAAAAGTTAGTTTTTGTCCCAGATTTGTATTGGTACATTGGAGTGTTATGGAATATTTTCCAGTGTTTCCGAAATACTGTTCGTGCTTTTCTTTGGACAAAAGATTGTTTTATTGTTTGATTTTGTATAAAAAACAGACTAATAATACGAATTTTGATGCACTTTTTTTGAGTTTGCGGTAAGTATTAAAAATACAAACAAAACATAGATCAACTTATATTTTACTTGAGTGAAATGTATATAAGGTTATGTTCGTATTATTCAAAATATATAAAATATAAAGTATATAAAAACACTTTCATTCGCAATCCTATTCTACTATCTACGTTTTTATAGTTTTGCATACGAATTTATAATTTCTCAGACTTGGGTAAAATGTATACATTTCTTATACATATATACATATATTAGGGTGAGCCAAAAAAACTAACCTATCGGATTTATGGGTTAAAATGAACCTACAAACCGAGAAAAAAATTTCCCTGCAAGGCAAAATTTTTTGCTCAATTTTAAAAGGTGTCGGTGAGCATTCTAAGTTTTCCATTGAAATATCACGTGAGGGTGGTCCATTTTTTAAGAAATTTTGATTTTTTTAGCTCTTAGGGGTTCAAAGGGTTCGAAATAAATAAAAAAATATATTTTCCAAGTTTCAAGTTCCTAACATAATATTAACCCGTGCCGCATTGCAGTTTATGTTTCCTATAGTTTCATCTATATGATTTTTATTAAATTTAAGAAAATCATGTAGCTAAAACTTTAAAATTATAATAGCTTAAAATCTGTAAAAATTCTAAGGAATAGCTACTATTATAAGATTACATTCTGACAA